TTAACTTCCTCATAAATATGCTAATGGAAGTATCCTTAACTGAACTTAGCGACTTAGAAATCGACTTATTACCAGGGAATAGTCTTATGGACTTGGAATACGCAGATGACATAGTTCCGTTAGGGGAGGATGCTGACAGAATGCAGAGTCTTCTGAACACTTTGAGCAGCAATCTTCGTATTTTTGGCATGCGATTCGCCCTTGTAAAATGTAAGATGCTGCTACAGGACTGAACTACGTCAACTCCTAGCTTAGTGATAGGGAGTGAAGTGATAGAACATGTCGACCACTTCACCTATTTGGGAAGTTGTATCAGCACCAACGGACTGATTGGTGACGAAATCTCAGCACGGATCCAAAAAGCTCGAGCTGCTTTCGCTAATTTACACCATCTCTGGAGTAGGCGTAACATCCGACTATCAATCAAGGGACGTGTGTACTGCTCAGCAGTTCGCTCCGTCCTTCTCTATGGCTCTGAAACATGGCCAATACGAGTTGAAGACATGAAAAAGTTGACTGTTTACGATCATAGATGTCTACGATCTCTCTCTCACGTTTAGAGGTGGTATAATAAGGTAAGCAATGTTGACGTTAGGAGTAGAGTGTTGGGCAAAGAGGGAAAATCAATCGACGAGGCTATAAAGTTACATAGATTGAGATGGCTAGGTCACGTGCTGCTCATGCCTAACCATCGACTCCCTCGACGGGCATCACTAGCTGATATAGGTGCAGGTTGGAAAAGAGTAAGCGGTGACCAAACAAAAACATGGCCTCATCAATCCATGAAATCCTTGACAGTTAAACTGAGTCAGGTAGGGAGGGAGGGAGATGCAGACTTCCGGGTTGGGGCCCGCCCTCGGGACTCTAAGAATCAATGGCTGGAGACAATAGGTGACATGGCTCAAACTCATCGTTGTCAATGGCTTACGCAGATGTATTCAGTCTCTGTAAACTTTCGTATTCCTTTCTACCATTACTCATTCTGTTTCACTCTTATACTTGTCAAAACTCTATTGATTCTCTTCAGTCATTTTCTTGTCTATTTTTGTGTGCTATTTGGAACGTGGCAACTCGAACTGCTGCACTTCGGTGCCGAGTTCTATGTTGAATCCAGACAGACAGACAAGTTGTTATATAAGGGCGTAGCGAAATCTATCAGATGGTGTCCACTGTGTGGCGTGTGCCACTGATAAGATTTATCAGACGTTCAAGGGCATAGAAATACCAAATAACAGGGAGATAGATTTGGTATCAAAGGAAGCAAATTGATACAGCGTTGCGGAGATACATGGGAGACGTGAAAGGAACACAAGGAAATGTAATATGAAGGCCAGAAGTAACACAAAACGGAAGTTCTGTGAAAATTGTGGGTTGAAGATACGTGTACATAATTCCCCTATATAGATATACCAAACTGCAAATAAACATTCCTTTACCAAATCTTTCCTCATCTACCGTTACAATTGTGGTTGGCGAACACCACCGTTTATATTTAAGTTTATTAAAGATGAAGTAGCGGAGGCACGTTTCCTTACCTTGGATGTTTCAGAAATTGAAGTGGTAACAGAAAAAGAGTTCATCGACGTAGACACCGATAAAACATTCCAAACAACGTATGAAACCATCTTAGGATGTCTGACATATGTTTAGTCCCTCAAAGATGTTCGATAATGCCATGTTAGGCAATATCTCAAGTACCAAACTTATTGTGTGAGAAATGATGGCAAATGCCCAAAGTGAAGAAGGTCGAGAGGCATCCGACCCCAAGGCGCGTTAGTTGGAAGACAAGAGGTTAATGCTATAGAAATGATCTGCATAAGAAAGAAAGGGATTGGAGGTATGTCGATCACCACCTTCCCCATATATGTGATGTCAATCTTAATGGAATGGTTGGTGAATAAATCTCATTGAATATTTGCCAAATGGCGTCATCTTTGCCGCCCACAACATACCAAGGTGCATCGTGTATGCTGTTCAGCATTTCGCTTTTACACTTTATAGCTGTCAGGCATGACTGGAGACAGTTAACCATATGATTTCATCCCCAGCAACTACAAATACATCAGGAGTAAACTAATTAGGACCTTACTGCTGCTTTCTCACAGAGCAACTGACAAATTTCCGACTATAACTGTCATAGTTTTATTGTTCACTTCAAGTGAGGCAGAGATGGGTGTGTTTGGTTCTCCTGAAAACCAATACCCAGTCAATGGGTTTATCACTGTGTGAATTTTTCACTCAGTGGGGAACATCCAGATGACGAGTCCTAAATAGGACGAAATGCGCATCCTGGATACCACTGCTAGTCACCATTCACAAATTAGATATATATTAATGTTGACTGCTAGATAATAAAGCCATGTGGAACGCGATCAGAGCCACCAACTTCCTTAAATAAAAAATATCAATTAAATAGGATCACGATAAAAAAGACCTAGATTTAGGCTGGATCAAAATATGCTATTAATCCATAAAGTTAGTGATCGCTGTTGTGAGCCACGTAAACTGAATTTTTACAAAATGCTACAGATTAAATGCTCGGGAAAATGTGGAAACATATTTACGGATATTTAATCGACATATACACAGTCAGGAGTGAGTGAAAGTTACGCTTTGTATGCTTAATGCATACAAAATCATAGACACCATGACAACCGAACTAATTTCCCCCATGGGAGAATTTTCCTTTTCAATTAAAAAAAACGGAATAATCGATTATATAGACCAGAGAAGATAATATCCAGCTCTCCTACTTAATTCCCTTACGAACCAAATTCAGTAGAAGAGATCATTGAAAACCAGAGGGCACTGGACAATTGTTTCATCCTATTTTAGGACTCTTCAGTAACGCACACCCGGTTAGATTATCTTAGAATCCTGAAGCATTAGCTATAAAAATTTTCAACAGTTAACCAGTTGGGAAACTTGCCCATCTTTCTCACTTCAACTTACTTTCAAGCGGACACTGTTGTGATATGTGTTGAAACTATTATTGTCCGCCTCAATTACATTTTGATAAAAACTAGTTACCTTCTCAAAAAATCTCGGTGACATTTCCATTAATTTGTCAGTATACATATCTGTAATGGGACATTAGAGCTACGGTTCCTTCAATTTCAACATTTAAGGTAGGACATCAAATTCTCCTTCACCTACCAAAGTTTCGATGGACAGTAATCACAAAATGGGTGTGGCTTATTAAGAAGTTAATGGAAAGACTGGGGGTTTCAGAGTAACGACAAACACCCGCGGATCATCGTTTTTGAAGAAGACAAGTGATATTCGCTTAAGGATAGAAATCCATCTTTAAATTTACGAGAACTTTGTAATCCAGTGGAAATAAATGCAAGTGAAATCATCTTCCAATAGACGACTAAATTAAATACTTAAAATTTAAAAAAATCAGAAGACTTAGATCCACTTTATGACAGTCGATACTGTATAGAGAAAAAAGCACCATGTTCACTGAACAAGAACTCATCACAGAAGACTACTTGAATGACCAGTGTTCATCCGCCATTGACATGGTGAGAAAGCTTTACACGCGGTGACCGATATTCATTTTATGTTTTGCCTTTCTTATTCTTTTACTTCACTTTCTTTTCATCCAGCAGTTGTACGACAATGATGCATGTCAAGTAATCCACAACGGGAAACTTACCAAATTCTTCGAAGTGAAGACGGGAGTAAGACAAGCTGGCTACCTACTATCCCCAATGATTTTCCTGATTGCAGTAGACTGGATAATGCGACAGACAGCGACGGGCAACGCAACGAGGAGACAGGCATAAAATGGACTTCGCCGATGATAACATATGTCTGTTTTCCCACAAACTGAAAGATATGCAAGTGAAAAGCAACAAGTTGACAGGGGAAGAAGCATCCAAAGAAGATAGGACTTCCTTCAGGTGAACATAGAGAAAACAGAGGTGACGATGAAGATTCCTGGCCAACAGCAACAGCTACAACAACAACAGAAAACAATCAGCATAAATGGAAGGAACCTAAAAGAAACAACCTCCTCTACCTACCCACCTACCTGGGAAACATCGTTTCAACTACAGGCGGATGGAACTGACGAGGATATCAAAGCTACGAGGATCGGGAAAGCAAAACAAGCTTTCATTTCTCTCAAGTCTGTGTGGAGGTCAACAGCACTCATCGTGAAAATAAGATCCGGATTTTCAACTCGAATGTGAAGTTAGTCAGTGCTACTATACGGATCAGAGACTTGGCCAGTGCGTCATAAAGAGCACCTCAAACAAACTACAGACCTTCATTAACAGCTTTCTTCGCTCGGTTCTACTCAAGATCAGATGGCCAGAAAAGATCAGCAACAGGGACCGATTGCTCGAGTGGAACCCGAAAAGGAAGCGGCAAGTTGGTCGTCAGTGTAAGGGTGACTTGGAGGAGGTCATGTGAAGAGGAGATGAAAAAGTGTGGGCAGACTTGGAGTCAGGTGAAGACTCTAGCAAAGAACCGAACGCAATGGAGACGCACGGCTGAAGCCCTATGTTCCTCTAGGAATTAAAGGAAACAATAATAATAATTCTTTCGCTTCTTTTTTATTGATTTACTTTCCCAGTGGAACATAGCGCGCTTTCAAGCTAGAGGCTTGAAGTTTTGGTAACAGTGGTGTTGATTTTTACGGGGTGGGGTTGCTAGCCTCATGCGCAACTACCCCTCTTTACCGGCTTAGTAGAGGTAAAGGAGTGCGTCAACCGCGGATCGAACCCTAGACTACGTGCGTGACGTGATTGGCAAGCATTCTACCGCTAAGCCGCCGACGCATTCACATAATGATACACCAATCGACTGGGCACTGGTTTTCAGCAGATTCAAACACATCTATCCCTCTCTCTTGCGAGACTAGATAAGCATGCAATACTATTCTGTGGCGCAACTGCTCAACAGTCCTCTCCTTCAGTGGACCAGTTCTTTCACTAGAAAAACAAAAAAACTACAAAATATTATAGTGAGATTTTTTTTAAAAACCTTACCTAGTGAAAAAGTATCTTCCATATTTTTTCCAATGCTCCTTTACTATAGACTCCACATCAACAGGTAAGCCTGTCTGACATCGGCTAGCTAGAATAGACAACCAAGCTAATAATGCCCATAAACCATCTTTTTCACGAATATGATCAGAACCAGTGCCAAAGCTTTCTTCACCGCATACAGAGCATAATTTAGCATCCATTAGATTACCGAAAAATTTCCATCCAGTTGGAACTTCATAGCATTTCATTGAACGGCGTTCACATACACTACAACAACAACAACAACATATACATACATATTATTGGAGAAAACAAAAAACACAAGTTTAAATTACGCACGAATTTCACAACAATGTCAAAAGCAGTCAGTACATTGAAAATAACAGACAAGTTCAATTTTTTCCAGTTGTAAACTTACAGATTCAATGCTCTACTAGTAGGCATACTACGTGCAAATCCATGTACTCCATGCTCTCGAAAATATTTAATTGCCTCTGTGTTATCAGCTATGACTGCAAGAGAATCACATGGGGAGACAAAAAATCCATGCCGACCGATAAGCATATTACGATCCCCGTCACCATCGAAAGCAGCTGCCATTGCAATTGTTGCATCTGACGTGACCATTTGAACTAGATCTGCTGCATAGGTTAAATTCGGATCAGGATGTCCACCACCAAAGTCTTCCAACGGGACAGCTTTGATAGCATATTTTGCGTCTAATCCAAGTTTACCACATAGGATTTCATGAATATATGGTCCCATAACTACAAGGAGTCAAGACATGAAAAGGACGTACGTTTAAAAGATGTTGTATTATAACAATAAGTACGATACTATCCGTTATTTAGCACACCAAACAAGGATTTAAATTTATGGAAAATTTACACTGGTGTACACAGGGTGAAGACTTATCCCAGAAACAGCATTTGAATACACCAGTATTTTGGTTTCATGAATACATATATTCAATAATTATGTGTTCCAAATGCTTGATAACAACAAATAATAATAAAAATTTTCAAGTATTGGTTTTTAGGGATTTTGTTTGATTGGTTGGAGGATTTTATCATGAGCCAACAACATCAGCCTTGTGACCAGAAGGTTCTGAATTCGACCCCTGGCGGTGGGTGTGTACTGATGAAGAGTCACAAAGAGGAGTCACTAGGCTGATGAAACAGCTGGCTGGTTTTCCGATGGTTCTCTTTAACTGATGTCAGGTTATGATGAAGTCCTTCAACCAATAATAAAACTAATTTGTGGATGATGACTAGCACAAGGAATAATCCAGGATAACGCCCATTTCGTCCTGTTTGGGACTCGTCAACTGGATGTACCTACATTCCCCACTCAGTGAGTGATGATTTTCCCACCGAGGCTCGAACCCTAAGACCGAGCACTTCGGTGCAATCAATCGACGGGAAAATCTAAAATTCAATTACAATAATAAAAATTGTTAAGCTGTTTAGAATAGTGAGCACTAATCAAAATATAATGAAAGCTGAACACAGATGAATCAGGTGTGTAATAAAGCGAAGTGTTTTTGATGATTTAATTGTTAGTGATGAAATGAACATGGAAAGGCAAAAATTATCCATCAGTTGTGATATGATACAAAATGTCAACACAGAATGAGAGAAGAAAAAAGAACTGGTTAGCTTGCACAGTTCCACTAACACATAGATGGCAGGCACTGAAGTTGAAATCAAATCAAATGTTAAAAATACCTCGGACTGTGTATTTCCTCTGATCACTTTATCTGGTCTTCCCATATATCATGTTAGCGCCTAGTAAGATATTTCGTTTGAAGTTCTATGTAAGGAAGTTACGACTGTGTGGTCTCACTCCGTCTCTATTGTTGTTACCGTTTGTTAATTCTTGTATTCTGCTTATACTTCTTTACTTTTCCCTCTTTAATCTTACGCAGGCTACTTAAGAAAGACTTTGTTATACTGCGTAGGGTACTAAGAGCTGTTAGTAGGGCGAGTGGGGTGTTGCTAAACCAACTAGTTAATACTATTGTAGAGATAAGATAGACACTTGGATTCCTGCGAGAAATTAGCAAATATTATCCTGTTAGACTCTGAACATCCTCTGTATACACACAACACTCTTCTTCCTTCATCGCATCACTTGGTGAGAACTAGAAGCAACTATAGAAGTGTATGCTCGGATGACTAAGGACAAAAACTCTACGATACCTTATTTAGCCGGGAGACATTTTATGCGATGCGTGAAGTAGAAGACAGTAAATTATCAACTTACTCCTGAGGAACTTTAGGTAAACGGCACTTTTTTGTCTTTGTTCTCATTGTTGTTACCTTGGCGTCAATTTTTTCACTTTACCTTAATTTTATACTCATATTCCTATTGAACAACATGATTAATGTAAATGGCCTATTTTAATTATTGCCCCTGTAATGAGTAAATTAGATGCAATACCGTACTACTTACTATATGCTGAGAATTTCATATTTGTACCAAAATTACTGTTTGGAATACGGCTATTTGTTCCTAATACTTTGAGCATTAAAAGGCCATAACTGTGAGAAGCGGAGACGATGAACAAATCTCTTCTCAAGTGGACTGATACATATATGTATGCAAATGGTTGAATGCAACACTTAGTTTTTCCCATTGTTGAGAAACACTGATCCACATAAGATTTAGAAAGTTATTTTATATGAGTTTGTCGATATCAGGCACGTTTATAAAATAGCAACACACATATGAATAAAGCAAAATAAGGCCACTTGTATTAGATGAATCAAATAAGAAGCATTCATCATTCACACTTACATGGTGATTGCAGATACAACCTAGATTTCACCAGATATCATAGAAATAAATATCAGTGGGGAGGGGGGGGGAAACACTTCTCTACCTTGCAAACAACCATATCCACCTGAGCTACAAAATATTCCTCATTACTTTCAAACAAAAAGATTTTCTTTTTCAATAGTTGGTTTGTAAGAATTAAATTTGTTTTCAAGAGTTTGACAACGGATTCATAACAGTTAGAGAACCATTGAAAACCAGCTGGGAGTACTGGACAGCTGTTTCATCAGCCTAGTTTGAGAATCATCGGCAGTGCGCACCCACCGGGGCTCCAACCTAGGACCTTCCAGTTACAAGGCAAGCTCATATGCCATTCAGCCGATGGGACCCGATTCAATGGCCCATAAATTCTAACTTCTAACACTTCGTGACAGCACAGAGTTTCCTGGATTTCTAGTGAGAAGTTTAACCAGTGAGGTCCAAAGAGTCAAGGGTGAGGGTGGATTTCCCACCGACGATATTGTTTGGTGTTCGCGCTAAATCACAAATTGGTAGAAATTAAAATTCATGGGCCATTGAAACGGGTCCCAGTGGCTGAATGGTATACGAGCTAGTTTTCCTTGAAACCGGAAGGTCCTGGGTTTGAACCCCTGTGGTGGGTGCGTACTGCCGATGATTCCCAAACTAAGATGAAACAGCTGTCCAGCATCCCCTGGTTTTCAATGGTTCTCTAACTGATACCAATCCGTGGTCAAACTCGTAAAAAAAAGATCTTCATTTATGACGATCAATAAATAATACCAAATCTGAATCTAACCCTAACCCTAAACTTAACACTAACCCTAAGTCTAATAACAATCCTTAGCTATTAACACATTGTCCAAACAGCACTTAAAAACGCGATCTGGGTGAAATTTGTTCGTTAATTGGTGAATAGCGTTGATATTTCAGCTGTAATAATGACAGGTGCCATGAGTCAACGACTAGCATTCGTTCAAGGTTATTAGAACGTTTGCACTCCTCGAGACGCTATTGTTGAACTTCGCCATAAAATGTACTTTACAACCTAAATCTGATGACCAATGCTATTGGTCTGTAGTACAAATTCAAGATGCATGTTTCTACTAACAAAAGATCTTCTTTTTGCAGTATACTTTCAGTTGTATAAACTGTCACTACTGTACTCTATACAAAGTCATAAATATGAATATGTGTCAACTTAATAAACGTACTGTCTTTGTTAATGCTACGAGAGGAAGAGAAATAGTATGAGTCATTTGTTTACGTGACCTATAAACCAGACATTTGACCCTAACGTAGACGACTAAGGGTCATCATGCCGTTGAATTCTTATTTGTACATATTAAATCAGTCAAAAGATACTTTTCATATATATCTTAAACTAGTTATTAATTAGATTAGTTATGTGAAACAACTATTACATTATTAGCTGTATTTTCTAGTCAGATTTCCTTTTACCATGGAGCAATAAATCTTTGTCTTACGCATCAGTCCTCCACGTCTTCGTAGTGTAAGAATACTAGTCGAGTGACCAGCAGTATTTTTGTTGTCGTGTTGAAGTAACAGTGTAATGGACCCAAACGCCAGTACTACCACTGTTATAACAGTTGATATATTACCATCTTTTAATTCATGAATAATTCCCGTTCCAGACATTAATGAAAATAGAAACACATAGTTCAGCGAAGGGACTCCTTTCGGTGAATTCAATTTCCTCTTTGCTTGTACAATCCCATTTATTACACAATCTCTTTTTCATAAGAGAGGATAATCAACAAAAGTGATGAGTTGACACAATCACAGCTGTTACTGTTAGTGCATAAAAGTTGAACAAATTTACTACAGATACGTAATAAGATGAATGGTGATCAAGATGCATGTAAAAACTAAGAACAATATGGAATTGTGCAAGAGTTCTAAGGAAATACAAGAGTTATAAGAAGTTAGAAAACTGAACAGACAAACATTACTCAGTTTGGGACTCTCCATCAGTATGCACCCACCGCCAGGACAGATACTCGCCGAAGACATTGGCTAGTGCCAGTCGCGCTATGTCGCGAATTGGCAGAAGTTGGAATTCATAGACTCTTGCCATTGAATCGTGTCCCAGTGGCTTAATGGTCTACGGTCTCACCTTCTAACCGGAAGGTCCTGGGTTCGAACCCTGGTGGTGGTTGCGTACTGATGAAGAGTCACAAATTAGGGCGAAACAGCCGTCCAGCACTCGCAACTGGCTTTCCAATAATTCTCTGACCGATGTCCGCTCATGATGAAATTCTGTAACCAAACCTATAAACATTTTGTCAATACCAAAAATATTTTTAACTTACAAAGCAAAAATGATAAGATCTGAAAAGAGTGGATACCATTTATCCCCTTAAAGTTATTTTACTCATAACATTTATTAACTTATAAGTGATATATTATTGTGTAATTAATCAGAGAGGCGAAAAGGCGAAAAGATAGTTTGTGAAATTATGGACAGTATAGGTGGTGAAGAAAGCTCACCAACCAACCACTGGATTACACACAAAATGCCAACCAATAGATATAACAATGACTTACCTCCATTAAGACCACTCACGAGCAATTTAAACGGTTTTTGTCCACTTGAACCGGTTAGTAAAGCTTTGATAGCATTAAAGTCGAATAATGTGCTCATGTAATCCGCATAATCAGCAACACTGCTGATGACTGTTACCTGATTAAAAGAAAAAAAAAAGAGATGATGAATTTTCAGTTAGTATTCAAGCAACTTATAATTAGTATTTAATTGGTGGATGATGACTAGCAGTGGAATCCAGGACAACGCACTTTTCGTCCTATTTGGGACTCGTCAACTAGCTGCATGTGCCTGCATTCCTCAGTGAGTGATGATGTTCCCACCGAGGCTCGAACCCAGTGCCCATTGTTTCCAACGCCAAAGCGTTATCCACTAGACCACCTGGGCAGCTACATCCAGATGACAAGTCCTAAATAGGACGAAACACTCATCCTGGATTCCACTGCTAGTCACCATCCACCAATTAAATACTAATTAAATGCCCAGACATCGTCGAAACATCTGCACAAGAAGCCAACATGTCAACCTGAGACCTAGCACTTCGGTCCAATCAATCGACGGGAAAATCTAAAATTCAATTAAACTTATAATTACTTCGAGAAGGGAAAAGAGTATTCCTGAAATCTCTCATTTAATACCATATATTTATTTAACAAATCAGTCATTTGGAAGAATTTAAATACACTAACGACGATATCCAACTGCCAAACAGATGCAGATGATCCCCATCAAGTGATGTTAGGTTAATGCCTTCGAAAGAGCCTTGCTATTGATATGTTTCTCCAACAGACCTGTCTGTATACAAGATCCGGTTAATTCTAAGTAAATCTATGGCATCTAAATCCAGTCTGAAAAAGAAAATGCTTTTCAGAAGTTAATCAACATCTTGAACGTCTCATCTACGTTTGAATCACATGGATAGTTGGCTTTAGAGGTTGTAAAACCCACAAAGATTGCTTAGTAACTTTTTATTTATGGTGACTATTGTGTAGTGTGCTGATACTATCCAATATTATGACATACGATAATGTCTTGTTTGGCTATGATAAGGACTACTGTCCCATTTTGCGACACTAGTCATACATTTTTTTTGTATATGAAGCCTTCAAATTGTTTACTGAATACTAACCCTCCGATCGGTTTTACAACCGAAGACGATCAGTTCATGTGACGTCACCATATGAGTGGGGGAGACAGGTCACAATTCCCTACTCAAAAATCACTACCTTCAAAATTACTTGGTTAAAATGTAAAAATTACAGATTATTATTGTTTCCTTTAATTCCTAGAGGAACATAGGGCTTCAGCCGTGCGTCTCCATTGCGTTCGGTTCCCTGCTAGAATTTTCACCTGGCTCCAAGTCTGCCCACATGCTTTCATCTCCTCTTCACATCACCTCCTCCAAGTCACCCTCACACTGACGACCAACTCGCCGCTTCCCTTTCGGGTTCCACTCGAGCAATGGCTTGTCTAGTGATGTCACTTGATGGTTTCCTCAGAGTATGGCCAATCCATCTCCATTTATTCCTGCCTATTTGTTTCACAATGGGTTCCTAGTTGGTTCGCTCCCAGAGATCTCTGTCGCTGATCTTGAATATTGAACGAATACAGGTGTTAATGAAGGTCTGTAGTTTGTTTGAAATGCTCTTTATGATGCGCAGTGCAAGTCTCTGATCCGAATAGTAAGTAGCACTGACTTCACATTGGAGTTGAAAATCCAAATGTTATTTTTGATGCTGAGTGCTGTTGACCTCCACACAGACTTGAGTGTAATGAAAGGTTGTCTTGCTTACCCGATCCTCGCTGTTTTGATATCCTCGTCAGTTCCATCCGCCTGTAGTGGAGACGATGCTTCCCAGCTAGGTAGAAGAGGTTGCTTCTTTCAGATTTCTCCCATTTATTGTGGCTGATTGTTTTCTGTTGTTGTAGCTGTTGCTGTTGACCAGGAATCTTCATCAATCACCTCTGCTTTCCCTATGTTCACCGGAAGTCTTATCTTTGATGCTTCTTCTACCCAAATTGTTGCTTTTCACTTGCATATCTTTCAGTTTGTGGGAAATCAGACATATATCATCATCGGCGAAGTCCTGCAAGTTTTTTGTGTGAGTCCATTTTATGCCTGTCTCCTCGTTGCGTTGAGGCCAATCCTATTACCCAACTAGAGGTCGTCAGTTTTACGATCAGAATCAAATTTATGATCAAGAATATTTAGCGAGCAAGCACACTAATATTTTTAGATGACAACTCACCGTAACACTCTGACCACTAGATAGAGTGTATTTATTTGAACCCAGAGAATTCAACTGAACATCTATAGATTCTTTAATAGTTTTGTAGGCAGTAAGCTTTTCACTTTGTGCAAAAATAGCATCTGTAACTTTCTCAGGAGCAGGACCACCATTCTCACAATTGTATTTAATTCCAAAATCAGCATTTGGTCCACCAGGATTATGACTGGCTGTCAGCAGAATACCACCAGTTAAACCATGCTTACGAATTACACATGAAGCTGCTGGAGTCGATATAATACCATTCTGACCAACTAATACTTCAGATACCTAAACAACAATAAAAAAAGAAAATCCTGTAACCAATCAATCAAATCCTTACAAACCAACACTTGAATATCAAATGAGATGCTCACTAGAGACTTGCCCTATTCACGTAGGTATTAGTTACCTGGGGTTCTAGTGGGAAGTCGTGACCAGTAGGGTGCAGCAGGTCGGGTGTGCGGACAAATACTCGCCAAAGATATTGGCTAGTGTCAGTCGCGCTATGTCGTGAATTGGAATTCATTGACTGACCATTGGATCGGGTCCCAGTGGCTCAATGGTCTACGATCTCACCTTGTAACCGGAGGGTCCTGGGTTCGAACCCTGGCGGTGGTTGCGTACTGATGAAGAGCCCCAAACTAGGACGCAGGAAACAGCTGTCCAGTACTCCCTGCAGGTTTTCCAGTGGTTCTCTAACTAATGTCACCTCATGATGAAATCCTGTAACCAATCAAATCCCTACAAACCAACACTTGAAAAAGAAAATCAGCCAAAAATAAATTAGGCACACATTATTATAAATATTGGTGATTTTTATTACAAAAATGTACATGAAAGTTGAAAGCAAACCTATTCACATCTCACAGTGAGAATAAGAAAAAACAACTATTTTGTTTTCGTATAATTCACTCAAGCATATATCAACCTACACTTGTTGTAGTATTTTGATGTTGGTTGTATTCTCTGAACTGGATAGTTAGTTAATTTGCGAAGTTTTCATTGCTCGTCCTACTAGGCAACATCTTCTTTCAGTGCATACTTCACAATTGAAGTACTTCAATTCGACTTGAAATTGAAGTATGCACTGAAAGAAGATGTTGCCTAGTAGGCGAGCAATGAAAGCTTCTCAAATTAACTATCCAGCTCAGAGAACACAACCACAACAAAATCATCCACCTGAGCTACAAATCTTCTCCATCATATATAAACACTTGTAATACTTCGGCAGATAGACATGCTTCAGAGAAACAGTTCTTGTACGGTTAATTTGAACAACAGAACATGCAACGTGAACTTGGATATCCCTACAGGTTATTTAACTTTGGATACAGTATCAAAAATCACGCAGTCACGCACCTTGACAATAAGGCTAATAAAGTGATCGACAGAAGTCAGTGTGTGTATAACTGAATCCGCCCCCTCTCACACCAACCAACCAATCAATGAATGATTTGTCGAATGACACAACAACCAATTAGAATGAATGAAAATAACATCAAAAAAATAATAAGTCTTTTTGACAGCAACGTTCAGTCTTTGTCTAATTATCAAGTTGCTTTGATGCCCCATATTGGGTAGCTTGATGTACACATCTTTCTTAGTGGTGAGTTGTAGAGTGGGTTTTGGTGTTCTGACTACTTTGTATCTCCTGATGAACTTGTCTGGATAATTGTTATCAACCACAGTTTGTGTCAACTTTCTTTCTTCTTCATCAAGTGTGTCTTCAGTGCATATTCGTTGGATTCTATTGAAGAGGCACTTAGCTCACTAAGGCTCTTTTGTACAGAACAGGGCAGAAACTGTGATAATTAAGACACTGTCCTGTCGAGGTAGGTTTTCTATAAATAGATCTTTTTATTGACCCATCAAGCCGTCGACTAAGCAATATGTCTAGGAAAGATAAACAATTATCTTCCTCTTCTACAGATGTAAGTGACATACTATTCTGAACTTCATTCATTAAATTTAAAATTGAGGTGGCAGAACAAGACTTATCACTGATGATTACAATATCATCTACATACTTTCTATAAGGTGGCACATTTTCGATTAAATCCTCCAATAAATTCTTGATGTACTACATATAAATATCTGCTAAAAGGGGCCCTAACGGACTTCCCATAGCAACACCATCAACTTGGCGGAAACAATCGCCTTCAAATGTAAACCTAGCATTGTTAGTACATAGAAGTAATAAATCCCTTAAGTAATATATAGGGAATGGGATGGAAAAATTGTTTGCGGAAATATAATCACACAAAATGTCAACTGTTTTGAGCAAAGGCACATTAGTGAATAACGAGTTTACATCAAAAGAGTACATATTCTTATTCATAATATTAATATTAATATAAAAACATAAGTTATGCGCATCAAAAACATACTCCATTAGCTAAGCATATTGGTATAATAATACGTTGTAATGATTCACGAACAAAATAGCGTCCATCACCACCCAATAGCAGTCGAACTGGTTGTGACTTGTTCAGATGATCGCCAACAGCAGCGTTCAAGATAGACTGAATAAAATTTTCAGTGTATCCAGGTTGCATAAATGTTTTTGTCGGTTTTCTTAAACCGCTAGTACCAGGTTTTTGACCAGGAAACGGTTTAGTCGGCTTTGTTTCTATTGTCAACATTTTCACCATGGTCTATAAAACTAAAATAAATAGAGATTAAAGAGGAGAAGTATTATTTAAATTAATTTAACCGCCTCGTGACAAAGTTTGAGCAGAGTAGCATAACAAACCAACTAATTAATTAGCTAAAGTTTGCAAATAATCTTTCAATAAACAGGTAATAAGGTAGTGTGCATTATACACTAGGCGAACCAAAAACAGAAATACTGACAAGCATTTCACCCACTTCAAAACCTTAACAACTTTCGCACACGCCTCTTGCTTAGATTTTTTTATTCCTTTACGTTCCCAGTGGAACATAGGGCTTCAAGATAGAGGCTTGAAGTTTCGGTAGCAGTGGTGTTTATTTTTACGGGATGGGGTTGCTAGCCTCATGCCCAACCTTACCTCCTTACCAGTCATATTATTGGCTTATCAAGGTAAAGGAAGGCGTCGGCCGGGGATTGAACCCCGAACCACCTGCGTGGTTGGCGAGCATTCTACCGCTGTGCCACCAACACACTCTTGCTTAGATAACCATCAAGTTAACAGTTTCTGGTATATATTTGTATTTCAGAATACCACCAAAATAAGTTGAATTTGCCTTCAGCGAAGTGCAAATCGTGAATAACACGGCGGCAACTACTCTTATCTTCATTTAATAAACCTACACATTGACATTTTCTCAGTGAACAAACACTAGGGTGAAGTAAAAACTAGACTTTGTATTTTGAAGCACTTACCATCCTCGTAAGATTCTGAAAGCAAGTCATTGAATTAATGCAAGCTTTGTTTATTCCTTTACGTTCCCAGTGGAACACAGGGCGCCTTCAAGCTAGACGCTTGAAGTTTCGGTAGCAGCGGTGTTTACTATTGTTACGGGATGGGGTTGATAGTCTCATACCCAACCTTCCGTCTCTACCAGTCTTATTACTGGCTTACCAAGTTGAGGAAGTGCATGGGCCGGGGCTCGAACCCCAGACCTCATGCGTGGTTGGCGAGAATTCTACCACTGTCGGTCGTTTTTCGACACAGAACTTTGCACATATGTGCGGCAGTTCAAGTCGCCACACTCCCTTCTTGTAGCACACAAACCAAGAGAAGAAAGTAGAAGAAATGCAAAATAGAGACAGTAAACAGAGGTGAGAGACAAAGGAATAGCAGTAACGAAGAACAATATAGTTTCATTGGAAATTATAAGTCACAAGGAGTGAATGCATCTGCGCCACTGAGAACGATTTTAAGCCATGTCACCAATTGTTTCCAACCATTGGTTTTTACCGTCCCGAGGACCCCAACCAGGAAGTCTACACCTTCCTACGTGGCTTATACTAAACTGTTGTAGATTTCATTGACTGGTGCCATGTTTTCCTACCATTGTGCCACCGACGCACAGACCAACTGGTCATACTACCAGATATCCAACCTATTAAAAATTATACACAAATTCTACATTAGCACACTATACCTAATGAATAAAGAATGCTGAAATAAAAACACCAAACAGTAAGCTGTTTCTTCCTTATTAAAACACAGCTAGCTTAAGGGACAGAAGAGCATCAAAAATATCCATCTAAGCCATTAATATCCGTTGTTTTAAAGCTTCTTCTCTCCAAGAAACGGTTACCCTAGTAAAGAGAGTCCGTCAAAGCACTCTTCACCAATAAAATTTAAATAAAATATTGAATTAGCAACTTTTAGTGCCCCTTATTGCCTATCTCCGTAAAAATAAAATCCATTCTTAAAAGTTCCAAGGCCAGGGGAAATCGCCCATCTCTTGTAAAGAGTTAAGGCTTATAAGTCTTCTATATGGGTCAGAAACTTGGCCAGCACATCACCAAAAGCATTTCCAACGGGCCACTGAAGACTACATATTGAAGATCAAATGGCCGACAGGAAAGAATTAGTAACAAGAAACTGTGGCAGCGAACTAATCAGGAAACAACTGCTCAACAAATATGCAAAAGAAAACGGAGATGGATTGGGTATACGCTAAGGAGACCGTTGGGTGACATAGCGGGCCAGGCCCTCGAGTGGAACCCGTATGGGAAATGACGAGTGGATCGTCCGAGGGTGACATAGAGGAGATGAGAGCCTATGGGCAATCGTGGACCCAGCTACCGAGGACAGCAGAAAATGGAACACAGTAGAGATGTATTGTTGAACCCCTATATTCCGCTCGGAACCCAAGGGAACAATAATAATAACAATAAAGGCTTATCGGTAGTTATTAACAGAAAACCTAAAATTTCTGCACTTTCATAAAGAATCAACAAGATTATGGACAAATACACCAACTGTAACCTTTTATGAAAATACTTCACACCTAAAGGTATTCGGCTGGAGACTATTCTACTTTTGTGAGTGGGAAATTGCTTTTAGCTATGGGCGATAATTTTAACCTTGATAAAATGTATCCGAATACTATACATTATGTGATATTTCATCAGTAGACTACACATCGAAAGCGTCTTGTAAACTTCAAAGGCCAAGAAATAAACATTTCTTTTCAGCCGGATGATTTTATAACTTTTCTAGTTAATAGAAAATAACACTTGACACTGTCTCTGGGTTCAAATAAGTTATCATACTAACCAATTAGAATGTATTATTATTTGTTACTGCATCGGTGGCACAGCGGTTTGGACGCTCGCCGACCGTGCACACGGTCCAGGGTTCGATTCCCGGACGACGCACTCCTTCACCTCGCTTAGCCAGAAATAAAAGCTGATAAAGAGGAAAGGTTGGGCATGAGGGTAGCAACCCCATCCTGTAAAAATAAACACTGCTACAGAAACTTCAAGCCTCTAGCTTGAAGCCCTATGTTCCACTGGGAACGTGAAGGAATTATTAATAATAATAATAATAATAATAATAGATATAAGGCTAAAACTTGGGTACTGCGGTAGAGTATAACTCCATTATGGATAAAAATTTTATGTTGGTAAAATCACTGTATTATACGGTGATATTTACTGATGACCACATTTCGAGCATAAATTATTACTGCTCATAATCATATCAAGGGACTGCTCACACAACTTTCTTGCTTCATTTATATACATGAGTAAAATTGATTAGATATTTGGATAAAATCAATATAAGATACAGTACATTCGAAAATAATATTAGTGTCATCAACAAAATACAAACAGATGGGAAATAAGATGTTTTTATAAACAAAATAAGTAACTTGTTAGAATGTTATAATGGGAATTAAATATATTTTAACATTATTTATTATCGGTTGATTTAACTGATGGTAATAATATCTCCCATATCTCTAACAAGTTACTTATTTTTACTATAAAAACATTTTATTTCCCATCTTATTGTATTTCATTGATAACACTAATATTATTTCCGAATGTACTTTATCTTATATTGATTTTATTCAAATGTATGATCATCAATTTTTACGCGGGTATATAAATGAAGCAAGAAAGTTGTGTGAGTAGTGAATTGACATGACTATGAGCAGTAATGATTTGTGCTCGAAATGTGGTCATTAGTAAATATTACTGTATAACATCATTGTGTGATTTATCAAAATAAAATTTTATCCATAACGGAGCAATTAGAATGTCAGATGGAAGAAATTATCCACATCACACTTGCAGCTAAATGAAGTTCAATTTTGCCTTGACTAATGGTTGCCCCCCACCCACTCGATTCATCCCAAGTGGAACACAGGACTTCAAGCTTTCCAGGTTTCAGTAGCGATAGGGCTTCTTTATATGCGATGCGGGTAGAGTTGCTAGCCTCATTAGTCAACTTTTCGTCGTTAGATAAGGTTTAGGAGTGCACATCAGCCGGGAATCGAATGCCGAACTCTCAGGTAGCTGACACGACCACTCTACCGCCGAACTAACCGAAAACTGTCGCGAAAAGAACCAGAATATTTAAATTTTGTCAATATACCAACCACATGAATGAATGAAAATTGTTCAATTCTTATACACAGCAGGATAGGGAATGTAGTAAATTATACAAAGGAATTAAAGCCTCATATGATTTAAAGTGTAATCACGGTGAAACTGTTTGATTAAAGTAGAAACGCCAGAAATAGGACATTATTTTGTCAAATATCTTCCCAGCGTATAACTATAATATAACGAATGTTTCTGAATTGTTAAAACAGCATTATGAGATAAAATAATGAGGTACCTATTTGCTATTCAAATATTGACTGTAAACATGTTACTTTGGAAGCGATTATGATGTAAACTTATTGACATCATAACTGACAACCCATCAATATATCTCTAATTAAATGAACCACCAATGATTGATTTCCTGATTGCAGTAGATTGGATAATGCGACAGACACCAGCGGGCAATGCGACGAGAAGACAGGCATAAAATGGACACACACAAAAAACTTGGAGGATCTGGACTTCGCCGATGATGATATATGTCTGATTTCCCACAAACTGAAAGATATGCAAGTGATGAAAAGCAACAAGTTGATAGAGGAAGAAGCATCCAGAGAAGATAGGAATTCAGGTGAACATAGAGAAAACAGAGGTGAGTGATGAAGATTCCTGGGCAACACCAACAACAGACAACAATCAGCATAAATGGGAGAAATCTGAAAGAAGCAACCTCCTTTACCTACCTGGGAAGCATCGTTTCAATTACAGGCGGGACTGACGAGGATTTCAAAGCAAGAATCGGAAAAGCAAGACAAGCTTACACTACTCTCAAGTCTGTGTGGAAGTCAACAGCACTCAGTATCAAAAACAAGATCCGGATTTTCAACTCCAATGTGAAGTCAGTGCTACTATACGGATCGGAGACTTGGCGCGTCATAAAGATCATCTCAAACAAACTACAGACCTTCATTAACACCTATATTCGCTCAATACTCAAGATCAGCAACAGAGATCTCTGGGAGCGAACCAACCAGGAACCGATTGTGAAACAAATCTGCAGCAAGAAATGGAGATGGATTGGTCATACTCTGAGGAAACCATCAAGTGACATCACTAGACAAGCCATTGCTCGAGTGGAACCCGAAAGGGAAGCGGCGAGTTGGTCGTCAGTGCAAGGGTGACTTGGAGGAGGTCGTGTGAAGAGGAGATGAAAGCATGTGGACAGACTTGGAGTCAGGTGAAAACTCTAGCAGAGAACCGAACGCAATGGAGACGCATGGCTGAAGCCCTATGTTCCTCTAGGAATTAAAAGAAACAATAATAATAATAATAATAATAACTAAACCACAATTCACCACAATGACTCATATACAATCTTCTAGCAGTGTACAACACAAGGTCAATTCACAATCAACCAGGCAACAATAAAATAGAATCATCCTGCACACATGCAAAGACAAAACAAATTTCATTAAAATATACAAACTCTGTGTATTTCTGTACAAAATGCAACTCTTTTTTTAAAGGAAAAAAAAGAAATTATTTCTTGGGTAATGGTTTGCTAGCACCAATGTTAGCCAATGAGTCTGCTTCTTCATTCCCATGAATGCCTTTATGACCACGTACATGATACTGTTTGAAAATAAAAAAGGTAAGATATATGCATGAAAAATGAATAACATTGTGGTAAATTTCAAATAAAAATGATAAGATTCATGACAGAACTGGAAATTGGAAGGTGTCCCAAAAGGAGCGATTAGATGGTTGTCCCCTGACATGTTCGAGGATTTCAGCTAACCATCCAACCACTGGATGATAAGGTGATCCAGACATATCCAAGATAGGGTGGAGTGGAAGGTCAGCTTTGTGTATCTTCGGTAGACCATAAAGAGTCTTGGTGTTAGAGATCCTGTTGGTCTGATCTTTTCGTACAGTTCTTCACGAATGAGATGATTGTTCTTCATTCTCTTTAAAGCTTCGGTAAGTTGTTTCTCAATTAATTCCGTCTTGTTTTTCTTGTTCGGTTTCGAGAATATACTGTTGTCTGAAAGTAGAAGTGACATTTTATCGATGTAATCTTTACGATCCATAATAACAACACCTGCACCCTTGTCAGGGCGTGTTAATAGTATATCGCTGTTATGCGTCAAAAGTTTAAGTTCTTCTTTGTGCTGTTTAGTCAGAAGACTTTGCATTTTTGATCTAGCATTAAGGTATTGATTGCAAGAATCAGTGATGGTAGATTTGAAGCATTGAAAATCCTGGTCTGACGATGGTGTGAGATCATAAGTTTGACTGAGTAGATTCTCAAACTGGACATGTGTATGTAGCTTGTTGACACTGAGACTGACATCGCAAAACTTCGAACGCATAGACAAGGCTTCCATCACTGATTCTTGCAATCAATACCTTAATGCTAGATCAAAAATGCAAAGTCTTCTGACTAAACAGCACAAAGAAGAACTTAAACTTTTGACGCATAACAGCGATATACTATTAACACGCCCTGACAAGGGTGCAGGTGTTGTTATTATGGATCGTAAAGATTACATCGATAAAATGTCACTTCTACTTTCAGACAACAGTAAATTCTCGAAACCGAACGAGAAAAACAAGACGGAATTAATTGAGAAACAACTTACCGAAGCTTTAAACAGAATGAAGAACAATCATCTCATTCGTGAAGAACTGTACGAAAAGATCAGACCAACAGGATCTCTAATACCAAGACTCTTTATGGTCTACCGAAGATACACAAAGCTGACCTTCCACTCCACCCTATCTTGGATATGTCTGGATCACCTTATCATCCAGTAGTTGGATGGTTAGCTGAAATTCTCGAACATGTGAGAGGACAACTATCTAATCGCTCCTTTTGGGACACCTTCCAATTTGTAGAACTGGAAATGTTCATTAAACAATCAGATTATAGTGGAAACTGATGGACAGATAAAAAGTGTCAGATATTTATGATTCGACTGTAATGGACGAATTGTAGGAAGTACTGATAATTTGGCATATTTAAAAAAGGTGCACAATATAACCAGTGGACAATGAAGTCAGAGTTGTTTCCAGTGATACGTAACCACTTTTTTTCTTAAATTTTATGCCGAATACTGAACTTTATTTCGTAGTTAATGCTAATTTGTTTGTCACATGATTACACATGTGTTTCACTTGTCTGTCTGTCTGTCTGTATTCGACACAGAACTTTGCACATATATGCGGTAGTTCAAGTCGCCACACTCCCTTCATGTAGCACACAAAGCAAGAGAAGAAATGCATAATATAGACAGTAAACAGAGGTGAGAGACAAAGGAATAGTAATAACGAAGAACAAAATAGTTTCATTGGAAATCATAAGTCACAAGGAGTGAATGCATCTGCGCCATCATGGAGAACGATTTTGAGCCATATCACCAATTGTCTACAGCCCTCATTGGTTTTTACCGTCCCGAGGAACTCAACCAGACAGTAGTCTACACCTCCCAACGGGGCTTAGACTAACTGTTGTGAATTTAATTGACTGATGAAGCCATGTTTTCGTTTGATCACTATTAGCTCCCTCTCTTCCAACCTAATCCATCGTATGTCAGTCAGCTAACATTGCCCGTCCAGGAAGGCGACGGCTAGGCATGCATAACACATGTCCTAACCATCTCAGTCGATGTAGCTTCACAGCCTCGTCAACTGATTTCCCCTCCTTACCTAGCACTCGACCGAAGCCTAACCTCAATATTGCTCACCCTATTATACCACTTCACACGGGAGATAGAACGCAGACACCTATGATCAAAGATAGCTAGCCAGGCTTTTCATGTCTTCCACTCTCAATGGCCATGTCTCACAGCCATAAAGGAGGACGGAACGGACTGCTGAGCAGTACACCCGCCCTCTGTTCGATAGCCAACCGGATATCACGTCTACGCCAGAGACGGCGTAAACTGGCATATGCGAAACTAGCCCTCTGTATGCGTGCTGAGATTTCGTCAGAGATCAACCCGTTGGGGCTGATGGTACTTCCCAAATAAGTGAAGCGGTCAACGTGCTCTACCACTTCACTCCTTATTTCTAAACTAGGAGTCAGTGTAGAACTTTGGTCAAGGGATAATGCTAGGCAAAGTAGTGATGGCTGAATTCCTTTTCGCCTTCTAGGATTATCTGTCTTAAATGATGAATTCTCACAGCTATGTATAAAAAGAAAATTTAGCAATTTATAGTCAACCTGAATGTACGAGAAATACCAACCAGTTCTCAACTTGTATACTGCATTTAAGCTTCATTAATATACATACTAATATCTCATAAATTTTGTAGATTGTTTTGAAATAAGAACCGAGTGGTGAAACTCATTACCATAGGGTAGAAAGACTATTTCAATTTGATCACATTCATATGTAGTTCAGCAAAAAGAAAAAGAGAACAGCCCCAAGGTAAGATATATGAATGTATTGTCTGCTTCATAAACTGGTCGATTTTTACACCATAAAATAATAACACGACGCCTTAGAAATGCGGTAAAAAGAGCATTCCCTGCAGCTGAATTACGCTGTGTCTTCAAAACCACTCCTCTTTTGCGTTCGGGAGTAATAGATAAACTGCCTAATTTCGCCTCTTCCATGTGTGTGTATCTACCAATTTAACTGATCCTGTGGAGCCAGTTAGTTACATAGGTCGTACAATTAAGCGTGTTTCTTGTCGGATTTCCGAACATTACCCTGCGTTGTTGGTTAAGTAAAGGAGAAACAAAATCTATTCATAGCGCTATTCTATCTCATCTTGTGGATACAGAACGCAAGATTGATGTCAACAAGTGGGCTTTCAAAATCATTTACCGCATACCAACTAATCTTAACTTCGCCTTAAGAATTCGTCGACAACATATTGTTGAGGCTGGCCGTTGGGATCCACATTAAGAAGACTAACTTGTGTATCCAAAAGAAGCTGGTTGGTTCAGACACTGTCCTTACCCCTCTGGCCATCTAGGTTCGAATGATCCTTTTATTTGATATTCTGTTTGCTATTACATTTTTATGCTTATTATAATTAGTACATCTTTCGTGAACTATAATTCTATTGATCTTACTTTACAAATTGATATTACTTAAAAAACACTAATATTGTTATTGACTACTATTCTAGAATATTCTATGTATATAAACATATATATATATAATTGTAGAGCCAGAGGAGGAAATTATCGAAAGGCATATTCTTTGCTCAAGTATTTTTTGTTTTATAGATGTCTGAATGAATATTTTAGCTGTATTAAAAAAGTTGTTATTATTATTAGTGTTATTCAAGCGTTAGTCTGTAGGAATTTGCTTTGTTTCACATTTGACCACGGATCGATGTCAGTTAGAGAAGCATTGAAAAAAAATCAGATCCCTACAAACTAACCCTTCAAAATTAATCAGATGCACTTTTTAGTGACTGGTTACAGGAAGACGATGACAGGAGTTCAGGCGAAAAGTCGTCACCAGTGGGACCCAGACGGTCGGGAGTGAAAACAAAAATTCACCGCGTGACATTGGTCACGTAAAAATTACGAATCGGTAGGAGTTAGAACTCAAGGGCCGGCCATTGAGTCGGGTCCCAGTGGCTGAATAGTCTACGCGCTTGACTTGCAACAGGTTAGAAACCCAGTGGGCGTTTACTGCCGATGAGTCTCAAGCCGGGACGAAACAGATGTCTAGTACTCCCTGGTGGTTTTCAATGGTCCTCTGACTGGTATCAATCAGTGGTAAAACTTGAAAAAAAAGTCATCACTTCAATTAAAAGAATAGCGAACAACCTGAGTTCGGTGAAAATATATCTCAACTCAGTCGATACGATAGTAACTACACAACTAAGAAGTATCCTTACACACTTCACAAAGGCATACAAAATGTGTAACTTGGGAATCGCCTTCACACAGACGTAAATAGATATAGGAGTCCACTTAAAACACAGGAGTGCATTAGTTAAGTTAGGGACACTTCGAATAGCATAGATATAGGGACGCTACTACAATGAATTCCACATGCACAACACATGAGTCAACGAACTCAGTCCATGAAGATTCACAATTTCACCAACTAAATCATTTTTCTCACCTATAACTCTACATAAAAAATCACTTATTTTGTGTTGGTTTGTAGGGATTTGATTGGTCACGGGATTTCATCATCAGCTGACATTAGTTAGAGAACCATTGGAAAACCTGGGAGTACTTGACAGCCGTTTCGTCCTAGTTTGAGACTCTTCATCAGTACGCACCCAATGGGATTCGAATTCAGGACCTTCTGGTTACAAGGCAAGCTAGCTCGTATACCATTAAGCCACTGGGACCCGATCCAATAGCCCATGAATTCTAACTTCTGCCTATTCACGACATAGCGTGACCCCTAGCCAATGTCTTCGGCGAGTATTTGTCCTCACACCCGACCTGGTGCACCCTACTGGTCACGACTTCCCACTACTAGAACCCCAGATAACTACCTACCTGAATAGGGCAATTCCATTTCATACAAGCAATGATGCGAAAATACCTACAGTCAAAAACCTGTAATCCTTACAAATTATCCGCTTTAAATGCAACATTCATTGTAACAGTAAAACAGAACACAATGGACTGCTGCTAATCAGTTAGATATTTCATGGGCGACAAAAATAACACATGTAAGACATACCTGAATGATTCCAAGAGATGAAGCTTTAAGCTCTCTCGAATGACTTCTATATCTTCCTGGAGACTTTAAGCTTAACTACCAGCGCTACACTATCCCCTTAGTGGTTCCACCAAACACAAGAAATATTACAAAGTCAGTGGCGGTTAAATACTCGTAGCCCTCAAGGATCTATCTTTAGTTGTCGTGTTTAGCTGTCTAGCAGCGGAACAGAGTTTACTGCTGCATGGTACACGCAACCGTTAATGAACAATGCGATTCAGAGAAGACAAAACATCCACTTTGTATCCCTGTCTATATATATATCGTTAGCCGTCATCCGACCAAGTCCATAACTTCTCATGTAAACAAAATAGCTAATGCGTGTCAAATTATAGTCGCCAAATGTCAATGCCTCTTCCACCTTTCCGACTTTTGCCCCCCTACAACTAGGCACTACCTTACGTAGATATTTTCAGTCTAAATTCGAAGCATGCTAGTGTGTCATCATGCTCAAATCTAGTGAAAGCGTTCCTGTAAATCCATTATTTCCAACAACAACAAAAAAAAGCAACAGAGATCTCCTCTGACCTTTCTTGACTGCTTTCTTTCTTTTTTCAGAATATGAATAGCATATGAGAAAAAGCTTACCCAAGTTATTTCAATCCCCGATTCATTGATGGCTTCCAGCAACCGTTTAACTGGTTCTTTTAGTTTAGCATTTTCACCATTTGCCAACTTCCATGAATTCTTTGCCCATCGAGGACCCCATTCAGTTGCACAACTTTGAGTGAACTTGCTGTCTGTAACTATTCCCAGGTGGTTTATACCTCCACTTCTGGCCTGCCTAATTGCACATATTACAGCCTACGGGGGAAAAAAGCGAATCACTAGTGTGTTCAATTGATGAATAGGAACTGGAGAAATGATAAATACGAAATGAAATCAATATAACTCTAGTGTTGACCATATTTGTGTAAATTTCATCCGGTGATGGGGTGTTTGAACTAGTGTGGTTGACCCACTGGCTGAAAACCGACCATCCTAACTGATGACCTACAACTCTAAGAGAATAAATAAACGACTACATGTACAGATATTGGATGGACTAAATTTAGCAAGCGAACATACAACTAGGAAAATATTAGAAACAATAATAAAAAACACTTCAGCACAGCACAACTGGAAAAAAGTTTGAGAACAAGGACAGCTCTGTCCAGTACTCCCTGGTTTTCAATGGTTCTCTAATTGATATCAGTCCGTGATCAACTCGTAAAAACATAACTAACTCTTACAAACCAAGCTATAGAAAATTAATCTGATGCTCACTAGTGATTTGCTACAGGGTGGAGTTTCTTGTAGTTCTAGTGAGAAGTCGTGACTTGTGAGGTCCAATTGGATGTCACGTGTGTGGACGGATGTCCCACCAACGACAATGGTTGGGGTCGCGCTAAATCACGAACTGGTAGAAGTTAGAATTCATGAGCTGGCTATTGAATCGGGTCCCAGTGGCTGAATGGTCGTCTTCGAGCTTGCCTTGTAACCGGAAGGTCCTGGGTTCGAATCCCAGTGGGTGCGTACTGCCGACGATTCCCAAACTAGGATGAAACAGCAGCTGTCCAATACTCCCTGGTTTCCAATGGTTCTCTAACTGATATCAGTCCGTGATCAACTCGTAAAAACAAGGACTTCATTACTCTACGTGCCTAAGTGAAAGTAGTCAGAATATTAGTTTAAGGTATACAACATAATAAGTATAGCTCACTATCTAATATGCGAACTTGTATAGTTCTTGAGTTACGCCTATTAACTAGTATGTAATAACATTTCCTATTTCTACCTTCATATACTTAGTACTGATACAGAAAATTGAATCCAAAATAAAGGAAAAACAACTCTACATAGAGAAGGAATCAATCAAAATGGAAATTCTATTGTAGCACGAAATAAAAAAGGAAAGTACTAATGACAAGTGAACAAAAATTGGGTTTAAACTACCTTTATCAGATATTTAAAAAAGTTTAGCCAACCTGAAAACTATTTTATGAAACAGTTTGTCCACGTGTTCGTCCACCTTTTCACACAATGTAGGCATTAGTTATGTCACTTAGTTTGCCCCCCCCCACAACCCAAACACTGTTCAAACACTATGTCAATCAAGTTGTACAATGCAGAACCGATCCAACTGACATGTGAAGCAAGCAAACTTTACACTGCGCTAAACATTTCGTATTGTGACTGACATGAAATCCTGAACCTATAACTTTATAGGCTTGCAAGATCAATTCAACTAGTACACTTAAAATCACATAAATAAGAGTCCACCATGGAAACGAACTTCTGATAGAATTATTTTGACAGTACTAAACGCTAGTGTACCTGCTCTATACCAAGAGACTATGTGATAATAAAATAATCATTAGAATCCCATTTCCAAGATTGTTTTTCCTCCCGTGAAATGAAATCAATATTAGGAGTAAATCTTTCTGGTCAGGTATTTTATAGCTTCTTACACTTCGACCTGAATTTTCGTTAGACATCTTTCTACTAGATACACTTTGTATAAAAACATGAAAAGTTCGATAGAACAGTCTCGAGTAAATCTAATGGTCTATTTTGTTAACTAGGTTTTAACTGACAGAGACGAACTACTTCTAATCGCCTTCAATTTACTTAGCTATTAACAAACTATAAAAGGCATAACTTCGACGAAAATGGTAAGTCAGATAGGTTTCATAATATTTTGCTAGTTTACAAGACCCTGATGGTCTCAACTAGATATTAATATAACATTTAAAAACAAGTGAATCGAATGGCTGTGAGACCTGGCCATTGAGAGTGGAAGACATGAAATGCCTGGCTAGCTGTCTTTGATCATAGGTGCCTGCGTTCTATCACCCATGTAAAGTGGTACAATAGGGTGAGCAATACTCAGTTTAGGCGTCGAGTGCTGGGTAGGTGGGAGGGGATATCAATCAACGAGGCTGTGAAGTTACACCGACTGAGATGGTTACGCATGCCTAGCCATCGCCCTCTTCGACAACGGGCAATGTTAGCTGACTCAGGGTCAGGTTGGAAAATGGCACCAGTCGACGAAATCCACAACAGTTAAAGCCAATCACGTAGGAAGATGTATACTTCCTGGTTGGGGTCCTAGAGATGGTAAAAACCAATGGTTGGAGACAATTGGTGATATGGCTTAAAACCGTTCTGCGGAGATGCATCCACTCTTTGTGACTTATAATTTCCAATGAAACTAGATTGTTCTTCGTTATTACTATTCCTTTTCCCTTATATCCCTGTTTACTGTCTCTATTTTGCATTTCTTCTACTTTCTCCTCTTGCTTTGTGTGCTACATGGAGTGTGGCGACTTGAAGTGCTGCACATAGGTGCAAGGTTCTATGTTGAAAACATAGAGACAGACAAAATGGTTATAAGAGTCACCTTACTAAGAAGTAATGGTTTACCACGAAAATAGCGTAGAAACAAAATTCGAAAGACTAACATAGACAAATGTTAAAACCGGTCCAATCACTTAGACAATAATATGTACATCAAGTAAATTTATGTGGCAAGCTTAGTCACAATGTGAGATGGCATTTGATGATGTTTGGCTTGTACATTCAAATTATCTGGAGGACTCGAAATACTGGTCAAGTCGAGTGCTCGTGAAATTCAGCTGCAGCACAATATATGTGTGTCATTACTCACTTCAGAGAAAAGCCATCACCGGTCAATGTGAATTACTCTCTATTAAAATCTCAGGAACCACTATTGTATACAGTAAAATCTGTGCATTTACGCTACAACTGCTTAATAATAAGAGCTTAGTAATAAGTGCTTAATAATAAAGCATGGTTAGCGATAACTTTCAGTGACAACCTATATGACACTGGTGTTTCCTAGTTTTACTAACTTTTGCGCATTTATTTACGGTTTGCGATGTGGCATGAAACTGATAATATCCTAATGTGTATTTGAATGCGAGGCTACACTATGAAAGCTGATAGTGACCTGCATCAGGCTTTAAATAATTATTACCATTCAAAAACCCTGAGCTGAAATAAAAACGTACTTTAACGGACAAGTTATCTGGACTCAGTTCCCGAAACAGACCTTTCATGTTTCCCAGCCAAAAGGCACACTTGTTATGTGAGGGCAGGTAACACTACCTAGTTACCCTTCATGAAGTAGGGAAAGGGGAACTTGAACCCAAAACCCATTGCCTGAAAACTGGGTTCTCCAGAAGATGAGCGTCTCCTCAGGCAATTTAATGTGCGGTTAATACTTAGCAAAACAATCCAACCCGAATTGAAATCAATGGTACTATGATTGGAGTTCTACGTCGCTTCAACAGCTGATTATAACCTCGAAAGATAATGTCAAACAATGCTGGAATCAACCAGAATTGTTCTAAAATAAATCCGAGGCTACGCAGATCAAAATTCCATTCGGAAACACGAGTCTATATGATACTCAGTCGTTCCTCACTTTGAAATTGAATTTATCTGACTAAAATAAGCCGACGTTTAAATTTCTCTTCCATCTTATTCGTTGTGTTTGTAGTAGTTAAAAAGATTACTTATAAATAATACAAAAGCATGAACAAAACATGAATTCACCTCAATTTCTGCTCTATTGTTTGTCTGTTCTCCTTCTAAACGCTCGGAAACATTCCTTCAAATAATACTGCCATTTAAAGACCTACCATGGATGGTCGGGTCCCCAATAAACACCATAACCTGCGTGACGATTATCAGTTGGACCTTTGCATGAACCATCTGTATAAACCATTACGCGTCGTGGACACGAAGCATCTGAAGGAAAATAACATAAACAAAGAAAGATGCTGTGTAAAACTCAGTTTGAGATGAGGGAAAACGTCGATCTGATGATAAGTAAAGTAATACGAAAATACCTTTCACTTTCTAGATGTGGTACCAATTCAAGCAAAAAAAATGTGATCAAATGCAGTTTCTCATCTTAATGCACAGAAGTTCGCTTTGTCCTCTAGGGCTGGAAGACATGAAAAGGCTAACGGTCTTTGACTACAAATGTCCGCATTCCATCTACCGTGTTAAGTGGTGTAATATGGTGAGTGACACTGAGGTTAGACAGTGTTAGGGAATGAGGGAAATCAACTATTGAGGTTATGAAGCTATATCGATTGAAATGGATAGGACGTGCTACGTATGACAAGCCACTGACTTCTTCAACGAGCAATGTTATTTGATACAGAATTGGGCTGGAAAAGTTATGGGTGACCAATCCATGCAGTCTGACTGTTGGCTTTAACTGGCCACGTAGGGAGGTGTGGACTCCCCGGCAAGGTTCCGGCAAGATGCTAAGAACCATTGGCTGGAGACTGTTGATGTTTCAAAACTGTTGGTTACACCTTACCCCCGTATACGAAACAGAAGAGAATTCCACTACATAATAAAGCTATGGTAAATCATTCGGAGTAATATAAGGTAAGTAATGAAATGTGACATAGCAGTGGAATTCCTCCAGAGATCCATTTGAGCCTTATCACAACTGAAACTAAGGCAGTAATCTAAGTAACTGACTACACTTATTTTTCTCAACTTAACTCGCTAGAACTGCGCTAATAGGTGAGCTGTGAATAAGCATGCTTGACAAACTACCTAGACAGAGACTAAGATTTCATTGACAACTGACAAATCTTTTAGCTGCCACCATATCAAACCTGTGCACTAAGCATGTGCTTTCACACGAGGCGGGTGTCTGGGAAGCTTACTATATAACAGCTGAAACTCGGATCTACCAATAAGCCATATAATAACAGTTTACTATGCATTACAGCAATGAGACGAAATATATCACTCCCACCCAAAGGGCAATAGTTTGTGCTCGAAACGTCATCAGTTAATATTCCTGTAAAGCACTGTGATTTATCAAAATAAAATCTTATCCATCATGGAGTTATGCTCTACCACAGTGCCTAAGTTTTATACTTACACCCAAAGGGGTGCCAAATCAATTCCTTTGTGTTTCGAGTACATGCAAATTATACATAGAATATTTCGATGGTTGAATTCATAGCTATCATCATCAACCACCTTCTAAAACCTCAATGGAAGACTGAGTGGTTGGGCAGGAAATCCGCTCTTAGAAATGCTACTGGTTAACTCGTTCAAAACAAATGGTAGGTGCCCGGTGTATGAAACAAAGGTAAGTGAACATATGCACAAAGAAACCACAGAACGACATTTGTGAGACGAACTTTGACAGTTTAATGTCTACACAACAAAATTTTATCTGTTATCCCACAGAAACTATCAGTCCAACACCAACTCCACTAATAACTAATTGCTTAAAAAACATTCTGATTCAGGCGGCATTTCAACTGACGATAATAAGGGCGCACAATTACACACTTAGAAACAAAAATAAATTCTGTAGGACTTAAAACGGCCGAGGTATTACCGTGATAGAATGTCATCATGCCTGGATTTCCGTCGTCATGAACAGGATTTTCTTCAGCGACTTTCACACACGAGGAGAGGCACCCTGTTTTCATGTCAAGAAATGGAGCGCTATACCTAAACTGGACTGGCCGTCAGTTACGACATCGAGTTTGAGCTTTTTTGAAGGAATGTTCTCTGAGTTATCTTCAGCCTCTGGGAAACTTCATCATAAAGTGGAACGGAAACTACCAACAAATTTCTTAGCTTCGTCGTATGACGAAAACTTTTTATAGCGAGCCCCAGTATAGCCCTTCACTAGATTTTCACATTCAGACCTGCTCACTGTTGAAGTTACAAGTCAGTACAACTTACCAACTTTCGAAAACACCGACGCGACGCCCAACTCTAACGCCGTAGTAAGGCATTTCGGAGGTCGCATACGCTTTGAGCGCCAAAACAGCCAGATTTGAAGGTCAGGAGGATTAATGCAAGTAGGTGTATATAACAACTGCATTCTAAAGGTCAGGAAATAATCCATTATTACGATTAACAATTGTAACATGTGAGTTTTAAATGTTAGAAAGTTTGAATGCGCTCTACGCTGTGGTAATAATTTGCTTATTGCATATGTATCAGTAAAACAGTGCTATCTACTGTAAGACGTTTCCAACACAATTTATTTTTCATAATCATATCACTTGTAAATGTATGAGTTTGTCTGGCTGAGTTAGATTCAGGTTAAAGATAACTCAAGGCAGAACTCAGAGAGCACACTACATATTAGCTGGGCAAACACCACTTTCCTGAGTCGTCCAGTTATAAAATACTTGTGTCTTCTTTAATCGTATATTAGCTTATCCTTTAGACCGCAGCAAACTAAAATAGCGGAGCGAAGTTCAGAGACATAAGCGCATGGGTAAAATTCGTCTTGGATATTCAGTTGAAAAATGTTCGACAAGGAAATTCGATGCTTCTAAATGCTGCTCCTTGAAGTGATTTTATTTTTTTTTTTTGATTTTGATTTACAGCTTGATTCCACACCGTATTTTCAATACAAGTGTGGAATTTTCAGCATGGATATCGGTAGCCCGAATTCAGGCCGACCATAGATATCGGGTGTGCGCCGGCAGGGGATCGAACCCCGGACCATGTGCATGGTCGGCGAGAGTCCTAACCACTGTGCCACCGACGCACAGAGCTCTGAGATCACTATTCATACTCAGCATTATTCAGTATGACATTAATAACCACAAGTGAAGTTAGGCATATTAGAAATAAAATGATGTGAAGGGCCTCGAAGTTTATGTGACTGGTAGACTCCTTATTTAAGATAACCACGACAAGCTCTGGTGACATATGAAAAAAAGACAAAGTAAACTTCCCCATCAGCTGAACTCAAGTACATATTTCGGTTGCTAAATAAATGGATTTGAACCTACTAGTTCTTCGTGTTCCCGCGAAGCGTGAGCAAAGTTTTTCTTTCGATGAATCATCAGGTACTAAAATGACTTATTCAGTAGGGTGTCTCGCTGGTTCATAAATCAAAGCGAGAAAGCAGATAACACATGTAGACCACCTGACTGTACACTCTCAAGTAGTCGGTTATACAGTAGAAAAACAAGCCCATCAAACTGACTTCCAGGCTATTAGGGGATAACATGATGTCACCATTCAGCTGCAGACATGATAATGTTAACAAATCCGGTCTACATGCAAATCGCACGATTCATTTAATCTCCACTTTCAACTCTTTCACTATGTCTGCTTCGTATTTGAAATACTGATTTGGCCCTTGGACTCCATGATTCAAATTAAGTCCGGTATATATCGGATGTAATAACACATGAAATCCCACACAAACATACCTAATGAGTAGCACAGAGTTTCCTAAGACCTTGTGCGTCAAGTGCCCTAACGTTTGCTGTCATCTTCGAGGCATGCTCAATGACCATTCGTAGATCCTTAGACCCAGTACCCTGGAGGTAAAGCTACCGCGTACATAATTTTCATGAGCCATACGTGTCCCCGGACTCTTGCTTACATCCTTTCTGATGTTCTCACCCGTACACCTTTCAAATGATAGACCTAAATGTATCCACGAACGGGGTCTATCGCTTCCGGTGTGGATGGGCTCTAAAGCTTGGTCCCATTAGCACGCAATAGGGAGAGAAGTGGAGGCACTGGCATGAATACAGCCAAGACACTGCAACTCAAGCAGAGTGCCCAGTAGACAGTGTCCCAGGCCAAGGGCCAGGTCCAGACAATCCAAATGGATCGGACAGTTCTGTCGGTGTCATTGTAGGTTTGGAGCGTGGTTGGAAAAATGCACACAATTATGTCCTTCACCTAGACCGCATTAGAAGCCGTAGGGTAACAAGTGACACTTTTCCAGGCAGCCACTACCTAATAGGATAGCTCGGACAGTCGTTTATTCTAAACCAAAGATGATAAAACGAAGCTTAGATTTCTCGGCTGATACAAAGCTGCACTCGGTATCACACCAAGAACGAAGGTTCGACTGAGAAAATAAGAGTTCCCAGTTACTCCGAAAGCTGTCAATAGAAACCACACTGCGACTCCCCAGACAGAAAAGATTGACACATCGCCCCGGATCTAATCAACAACTTCCACGGGTTTTTCACTGTTGCTACCTAAACCTATCAATCCTCAGCGGAGACATCTCAGAAAGGCATGACCCACTAGGAGATACATGGAAAAGACGATTGTCAATGAAAGAAACCTCCATGTATGCGAACACAGGCAAGTGATCACCATTCACCACTTCCAGTTAAACTGGAGGGTTTAGGAAAATACTAGAGGCGGCAACCAGCCCTCAAACTTCCTCGGTTGGCCAAAAACTAACGAATACCATGTGGACGCTTAATCCCTTAGTTTCTGCTAAGCCGAGGACATTGATCTGGGACAAAGTGAACATAACACGAGCTGAACTACATGCTTCAGTTGTGAATTGTCCGACACTCAAATAGCCATTGAGCTTCATCGTTGCATATGCTAACTAAGAAAAAACCCCAGCTGGCTCACTTATGCAGATTATAGAGTTCCGAATAAGCAAACCGCTCCAGATAGATACCCAATATCGCACACCGGAGACCTTACTAATAGTCTTCGAGGTGGCACCTATCTTAATGTTTTGGTGGCTGAGGAAGATACGTCTGAAACAGCAATTAAAATCTCATTAGGATAATATGAATCTCCGCTGATGCCATCTGGACTTCATAGTGTTAAGCAAACTTTTCAAGGCCTGCCCCTTGCACGAACTGCAGATTTTCGAGGTGCAAGTAGATGACCCACTCATCTCTAGTCTTTATATAAGCACTCGTGAAGACCACATTCGGGAGGTGTTGCGCAAACCAGAATACAGTGGCATGGCGATTGATAAGAGCAAGTGCATTTTGGGGTGAAAGCGACAAAGTCTTCGTGACACGTCACCGACAGCACTAATATGGCACCAATATCCTAAACGGCAGATACCATCAGGTAGCACCTGTTACCTACTCACCTCACACTAAACCTAAGTTTTGTTGGCTTCATAAACTTCAATCTTTGTTTCATACGTGAATGCGTTTGGTAGAAAACTAGAAGGCCCGCTTGTCAAAAGTGGCATCCATTGTAAACACACAATTGAAAAATACACATAGTTCCAAAACTGACAAATACCTGCCATGCAACTTCATATCTCAGCTTACCAGTGATATAAGACAAGTGGAAAAGGCAGAGAACTGATGCGCTGTATAGAATACAATTAAATACAGTGCGACAAATCCCCGTAGGCCTCATAGCACTGTCCGAACATTAAAACGGCGACCAAGAGTTAAGGCTTATCCCCACTTCAAGTAGCCTTTGTCTCAAACCCAAACAGTCACCATCTCCTATAGATGGAGAACTGATGTAACACGACACTGTAATAAATTCATAGAAGCCTCTCGTCCCTAAAATCATGATAAAATCCATATTCTATCATTTCCACTTACTGCCACACACTGTAGCTAAAGCTTCAGCTAAATTAGTCACCTAAAGATATATTTAGTTGACCCGATAACCCGATGTGAGGAAGTGGGTGGGAGTGTATGTCATGCCAGAATGTGAAAGTAAATAGACACACAGTTTCATCCATAGAAACAAACACGGGCCTGGACGCTCGTTACTTCCAATTTTATGTGGCTATACTCCAAAGTACCGCTTATCTGTATACCCCCGCTAATACCTTCACCAGGTTTCATGTTGCCTGAAAATGGCTGATATCACAGTGCAAACGGTAGCAGAGGACTATTCACCACTGGGTAGCTATATGCAATGCGCTTATAGCAGCAACTGCCCCAGATGAGCACAATTCAAGATGGGTGTCTTTATCAAATAGTCGACGGCCCAGGAACACACAGAGTCCGCTGCACACAATATCATTCAACAGGATTTGCGGTAGTGGCCTGGCAAGCAAGTCACTCGTAACTGTTTACCAAGAAATCATGGGCTCGATATGGTCTATGCCGACTCAGCTCCCTCTCGTTTTATATCGCCATCCAGTGCTTGTCACGTGACGCGATCATGTTCCCTGTCACCAACCGCACGGCAGCAGTAATTCGGGTTACACTTTCTGGAAGCGATTTCAAACTAATTCGATGAAAGTAGACAAGCTGATGGCATCGAAATGCTACTGGATAATAGATACACTCACAGAACAAGAAGCGACCAAAGCGAGTGTCGACCCATTTTGATTTTTCTAATCAGCGCTTATTATGTGACTGTCGCAGGCTCTAGTTTAGTATCCATTTTCACTGGGCACTTAACATTCTCATATAATTGTTGTAAATCCTATGGCACATTTCGTACGCTCACGTAAATCTTGTCACCACTTTTGTCCGACGTGGACTAGTTTCCATTACGTAGTTATTTCCGTGTTCATCAAACAGAACGGGGCCATTCCCTACTGGTAGAAAGTTATCTATCAGGACTTGAGGTGTGTAAGTGCTAACAGCATATTAAGCACTTCATTGTACATGCCACTGATGACACATAATGGCGAGCTGATTTTGATGTTTGGCATTCATTTGGAGTATATAGCAAGTCTTGCATCTCTTCTACAGTCTCGTTAGTTAAAATGACTATATTCAACTTTCTATCCATTCATACACACAAAAGTAGGGTTGGTATGGTGGCAACTAAATTATTTGATCACGAAGCTCCTCATCAGCTAATTCAGTGACAGTGACTACGCCACTGATGCAAACCCTCATAGGTATTGTCATAATGAGACAGTCACGAGTTAGGATGGCTAATTCGGGCAAAATAGCCAAGCACATATGCTGGTGTTCTCGACGGCCTCATCACCGCCCCCACTAATCTTATTTAGTGAACTATCATGGCCAATTCAACTACTTCAGGAGTAATCGAGGTTATGTAAATGTTG